CTGCTAACGACATCATTCAGCGTCAGCCAAGAGATGTACGATAGACACTGAGCTTCTGTTTTAGTTCAACACGAAGCAGATCATGCATTTTCATTATTCCAATTTTTACCATATGTCATATCATGTCTGTTAACACAGGCTAGCACTGTAGAACAGTGTCAGAGAGTCGTTCATAGCAAACTTCTTCGAGATCACTCTTGCGGGGGGAATACGTCCGAACGAATTTGCACACGGATTGTATGGGCGCATATTCTTTCAGAACAGCATTGAGCTTAATGTTAAGTGATCTAATATCGGCCACTTTATTTATTTCTTTAGCGCTACAGTCAGATCAAACCTGATAGTGCTTCTTTTGCGGCATACCGACCTGTAAAGGTACCTGTTTGGCTGTCAAATTAAGCGTTTCGGGCTGTTGCAGTCAATGCTATCGTTAAGCGTTGCTTCAGCAGAAGCTGAAATGTATCCATGCCGGGGTACGTACCTAGACTACCTTACGTGTTTCTAAATTCTGTGAGCAAACGCGTTACTATTGCACTGTCACGGGAATCTGCTTCACTACCTATAAGATGTAACGGAATATATGCCAATAAAATAAAGCAAACCAATTATAAAAAAAAAAAAAAAAGAAGAAGCGACAATTCCAGACCGCCCTCGACGGGAAGTCACATTGAAGGAATGGCGAATTGTGTGCACACAGTATCAAGGCTACGTGCTAAATTATTGCCAATTGAACGAAGAGCGTGTGTTTGACGTGTGAAGTTTCACCTCACGCGTCACACTAGTATAGATTTAACGGCGATCATGAAGATTTATACAAGTATAGAAGTTTTTAATTATATTTTTTTATGAAAGTATGCGTTATCATCAAGATTCTTAGTTAACATCTTTGTTTAACGCCCTTATATATATACTGCTGATGCATTAACCCATTACTGGGACAGATAGCGTTTGTTCCCTTCTATCGGTGCGTCTCCTGTAAGCTGTCGTCAGTTTTAAAAGACAGATTGGCGTTTTATAATTGTATTCACTATATTATTTTATTATAATCTACGTGTACTTTCATATATTGCTCTGATGATCTCGCAGCGTGTTTGCCTGATAAACTTCAAAATACTGGCTGGTGTAAATTCTAATTCGGGTCTTTTCGGGACACACTTTGTTTCGCGTTGGGGACCAACCGTTCAAAGTGACCATTTGCATATCAGACGTATTTTAATACAAACAAATACTTATTTAAGTACACTTTTAGCTATTATCATTCCTGATCGCCTAATTGTATTTAAATATAATACGTTCTATTAAACGGATCATCATTTTGCATATTGGCTGGCAAACTGGTATAATTCCTAGCATTATCTTACAATCTTAATATCTAATTAAATTTGACATAAAATAGAGAAAATACGTTATGATTAAATCAAATCTCCCTTATTCACTCTGGCATGTGTAGGCATCCGCTAGAGTATTTGCAGATATCGTTGTTAGGCCGAAGTTCTTGGAAGAGCCCGAACTGTTTACACGCTCGAGAAGCACTGGCCTGCGAGCTCGAAATAAAATGGAAGTTGTGTTTTTTTCAAAGTGTTACATATTTTTGAAATGCTTATAAATATATATGTAGAATAACAGAGAAAAAAACCTTACCCAATTAACGATAATTTTTCTATCTTCATGTTCTTTTGAGTGTCAAAGACCCTTGCGCGCATCATTTCGGAGAGTTGCTCAAATAAAGTAGCTGCAGAAAAAAGGCTACATGCCCTCAGGCTTTGTGGAAATTCATTCAAGAGGCAAAAAATACAATTAACGAATAATCGAAATAGCTTTTTAATTGAAGGAAGAATAAGGAAGACCATTTCTTCATCATGCTTCTATGACTATGATTGTAATCAGTATTTTCTATATACCGTGTCTAAAACGTGTACATATATTTCAACAATAAATATTAATAACAAGAAGAACACATTGTAAAAAAAATATTTTCATGCGTAAGCCAAAAAAGTACGCATACTTTTTTTTTGTTTTACAATTATTGTATTTTATAGATATAATCAGAACTGTTTTTGCCAGATACAACATTGTTCCCAAAGTGACGCATGGCACCAACGTCAACCTAATTCTTACCCATATTTGTATATCTATATTGAGTCCTGCACTCCACAGAAAGTATAGATACTTAAATACATTTAAGCTTGAATGTTCTGAAAAGCATCATCATATACAAGTCAATCAAAGTTCTGTATACGAGGAATCGTTTCCCGCGATTTATGCCACCTAGCTTCTTGTAGCTTTTTCATTGTCTTTCACCGAATGTATTAAGCGACAAAACAAAGTAGCGTTTCTAAGTGATGTCGTCTTCTCTTGCAAACTCGATCGGAGTTGCTTTCTAAACTACTTATCCACCTTTGGTTGCATTGAAAACTTGCGGTTCCGCCTTATCGACGATGGAGTTCAATATTTAAATTATGGAAATTTTATCAAGCATTGCCCAGACATGACAGAGACAATGCCCAATTCATGATAGATAGAAACGACGAATGAATTAGAATTAGTTGAGCCTAGTCAACTACGGCTTCGAAAACAAATAGAGATCTCACTACAGGGAGGTGTCAAAAATGATACGTTTGTATTAACTGAGACAATAAAAATAGATGAGGGAAGACTGAATAAATGTTTGACAATAAAAGATTGACTAGACATATATTCTTTTACAAAATTTTATAAACATAACTTCCAGATAAATGCGAGCCACTCGCGCGAAGGCACATGACGCATATAGCAGATAAATAGTATAATTTTCGGTATAGATCCCAACTTTGTGTTTTCTTACCTTGTCTCGCGTAAACTTAGATGTTGAATAGGAGGAACATCATAACCTTGCATGTTTATTTACCAACTGAACCATAAAACGTAGTCTAAACGGCAACGTACCCAGCTGGTGCTAAAGCTAGTTGCTTAATCTAAGAGGAAAAGTAGTGGTCTAATGAGACCGTGACTTCCAAAATTTAATCGCCGTTTTTTTGACGTTATCGTGTTTGCTCGCTAGGACTGAACATGTAACACTCGCGCGCCGTAGTGCTGCTGAAAATGCTCTGTCAACACGCTGAGTCGTATCGTGTAAACTCCACTCTTTTTGGCCCATTTATTCGATGGAACTCATTGTAAAGGCTGTTTCATGGCGTCCAATAGGTAAGGGACGAACAATATACACAAAATCATCATTTTACGTGCCCCGGTGAACATATCCTTTTTGGATAAGGTAATGATACTCACGTTAGTTTAGAATTAAGCGAGTACGAAATAAACCAAACATTTATAGCGAGCATCGCGGCTCGTTCGCCATAGAAAAACTCCTACGTGCGTACAAGAACAACAGATTTTTGCTTATACGTTTTCCAGTTCCGGACACCTATGTGAGTCCTACGGAAAGTTCTGACGCTCCTCTTTAATTGTATTTTAATTTTTTTTTTGCTTAAATATTTTGAGCCACGGTGCTTTACTAATTAAAAAATATAGACTCTTTCCAAAACACAGACAAATTATTGTGTAAGTTTTTGTGCATCTTTAAGGCCGTGCTTTTATCTTTATCTGTGTTCTAAATCTATGATACATATATTATAGCATCGTAAGAGCGCATGAAGAATATATAGCCCCTTTGTCAACACTTCACTTTTTATCAGGTATCTGGCTTCTTTGTCTAGATAGCCTCAACAAATCATATGAGCATACATAAGAAAAATAATGGAGAAAATCTCTCAGTTTTTCGAATCATTTTTAAAAATCACATATACTTCGAAATTAATAAAATTTTATCATTAATTTCTCAAAAGCAGTTGTGACAATGGTATAATTCGAAATCCGTTAAAAAAATCCCAAAACACGAAAAAGCTCTAAGCTAGAAAAAAGCAGTAAAGAGTAAAAAATACGTGGCTTCATCTTTTCGCAGCGTATTCATCTATTAAAATTGACTCAGAACCGTTTCATCGAATTTCGAATTGGTATTTCAACTTGACTTATCCTCTGTGTGGCTCAACTAGGGTGTACGCCACCCAAATTAATACCTGCAGAGAACCACAACAGCGTACATACGTGTAATAGACGACTATCAGACTTCCCGACATTTTGACAGCAGGCTTGGTTTGCAAAGAAACCAGATCAAGTGTCGTTGGACATACATTTCGCTGTTAAATTTCGTATTAATGACATTCGCTTTTAAATGTCTGGATATTGTGTGAGTCTTAGACCTAACAAGTTTACTTTGGTGAAAGACTAAACGCCAAATAGTTGTAAGAATCGGCCGGACGAGGTATCAAAGTACAGTTATATGAAGTGTTAGTACGAGCTCTAGAACCTGCAGCAGATACCTACAGCGGTAAACACATCGTATTCCTAAATCCTTTCCTGTTTTTCCTCTACAGAGAAAGCTAAGAGTTTAAGCAATTTATTTGCTACAAACGTCTTGAACATTAACATGCCGGAAGCTAGTTCAAGTGACCCGAGCCGCAGGCTAACCATTATCCTTTAAAACGTTTCGTACCAGATAGAATAGATTTCGTACCAGAACCACGTAGATAAAATTGCCGCATTTGGATTCTTGATATGTCTGAGATAGAGCGTGTACCGTACAGAACTTGTCATGATGAGTAAGTAAATGAGTGAAGTAAAAATAACGAAACTTCGCATCGATACAGCATAGATGGCGCTATTGCCTTGTCGTTAAGATACACAGACGGAAAAAGACGACGGGATCTTGCATGCTACTGTATATAGCCTTCTGTGTTCGTACAAACCTGGAAAATAGAACAAATACTAAAAGTTCAATGTGAGTCTTTTTTTTCCACTAATAACATGATGTTGTTGTCTCGCACAGTTTTTGCCAGCCATATCCTCGCTGGTGCAACTTTTATGTTGAGTCTAGGAATTTAAGAAAAAAATCTAGTTATCCTAGGAGACACTTAGGGATAACTTGAAAGGCATGAAGCTATTACGGAGGACTCTAAGAAATACGTAACACTAATTTAATTTAATTTAAAAAATATAATCACATTTCACAAGGAATCCTTTAGAACTTGGTCATGTTGCTTGACTATTATTCAACGCGTTCCCCAAATTTTGGGCAAGCAAAAAAATGTTTAGTTGATCTGAAGGAAGTCACAGAAGTCCATTTGTATAAAATATTGAAATTGATATGAAGTTTCACACTTTTTGGAATTCATATCATAGTGCATAACAGAGACATCTTTGTTTAAGCGATTATTGAAATGACTATTAGTCGTACTTTTCCAGTTTGAAAAAAGTTGGATTTTTTTTTCCTCGATGACTACATTCGTCACCGGTACTCAGCAGTTCCACTCCAGGGAGTAAAAATTTTGTAAAAATCGATCTTCAATACTATTTTAAAAGTACGAGCAATTTATTTTATATAAAAAAAGTATCTCTTCTTCCATATCTGCTTTACACGTGGAGGCTACCAGGCACTTATATACTTTTCCTACATGCGTTTAGCTTTCCTGCAGTTACGCTCTGCGAGACAAAACCCTCGTACTTCTCTTGTTTGGTATAAATCTTGGTTAGTGCGACTGATCTAAACTATATTTTCCATGACAACGGATATCAAACGAACTACATATACTAGAGGGATTTAAATCGGACTTTTATGTACATGAATTAATTTGACAAGATTCAACTCTGATACGTTTTGACGAAGGCTGTTCAAGGAGGAGGAGATCGTTTATCCTAAATCGTCGCACACTGAAATTACTAATGGATACACATAATTAGAAGTTGTATATATATAGGTCCAGCAAATTGATGATGTGTATTGTATGTACGCGAAATGATCGTTGCTCTGTTTCGTTCAAGCGTTTCACGATTACGTTTACCGAGTTCACAAACGATTATGATGAAGTTCTTCGACTTCGGGAACCTTTTCGTCCCGGCCTTGATTCGCATTTTCGTAGTCGCCATTATCGTCGCCGCTATCACTCGGTTTTTGCGGCTGTCGTGGTTCCAGTTCCTGGTTTCGCCTTAGTCTTTCAACACTCGCCAAGGATGTATTCATATACTGGGAGCGCATTTGTCGTACATAGTTGTCATGAAAAGAGCGCATCTCCTCGGTGACTTCAAACATAGGTCCATGCCCCGGTATGATATAGTTGGCGATCCGAAGAACCTAGTGCATAATATAGTGAAATGGAAAAAAAATGTTGAGACGAAATGGTTTATTTTTATTTTATTTTATTGGACCAATCACACCTGCAATTTCTTTAATTGGACAAACGACGTCATAGCCGAGTACGCTCTTGAATGGTTCGGGAGTTTCTAGATCAATAATTTTTGCAGTATGTATACATATATTCTCTTTATCTCTCGTGCCGTTTACGTTCTGACTAAAATATCAACTGGGTTCTATCTGAAATACCAGTTCAAACTTGGTCGACTAAAAATAATTTAGTACACAAAAACCAATATCGGTTTCCCGAATTATGAAGTTCGTTACAAACGCGTCAATCGATTTACTGGAAATCGAATTTACAATCTAGCAGATCGGGTGTTTAATTTATTGTTTGTTACAACACTTCGTGCTAAACATTATACAGGTATTATGAAGTCCAAGATTTATCTACACTCAGTTGTGACGTCATTAGTTCATTCCAACTTTGTATGTTTTGCTTCTTACTTTTTGTCGATTTTGCGCCTGCTGAACTGGGTTCTCCGACCCGGCTTGATGTTCCCAAATATGTGGATCGAATACGTCCTGCCGCGTCTCGAAAAGATCTCCGGTGATTGCTATTGTACCTTTCTCAGTTCCCAATGCAATAACCGTAACGCAGGATGCTGTGTGCCCAGGGGTAGGGACCACTTCAATGCCTTTGGTAAGGAAAGCACAATGACAAAACAATGTTAGGTGCCTGTCAGGTGGTTTTACGAGCTTCTCTAACTGTGGGTAAATTTGGGAACACATTGTAAGGTGGTGTAGGTTCGAAACTGGTCGAAAACACATTTCGTTTTTTGCCGGCAGGAGCCAGCCGTCTAACACAACCCTTAGCGTAAAGCTCGGCACTTTCATTGTAAAATATTTTATGTTCTTTTTAAAATTACAAGTTATGATAATAACTAGCATCCTAAAAAAATATAATTTATACTAATTGTTTTCAAGCAAATATTATTATAGACTATATTGGACGAAATTCGCTTAGTTTTTACGAAAAACAAAAACGAATATTACTCATGTTTTAACCTTGGTTTTTTCCATACAAAAAAATGAGCGCGTTCCCTCATGATACCTAAATTATTAATAGTGATATATTGTATGTAACACGATAACATGACAATATATTGCCTATAAATGAATTCACTATTGCATCAAAGCAGGTTGGTTGAATTCAAAAGAAAATAGCAATTTTTCGTAACAAGTTTTTTTTTTTAATAAAAATATACTTTATTTTTCAACATTAAATCTACCGGGCTAAATCTATCGCATTTTGATACTGATCCGACGCCATATTTTTTTCCAAGTATTATTATTGCGGTGGTATTTTGACGGTCATTTTCGTTCTCACTTTTACTTTGGATCTTGTCATCGTTATCCAGTTTATTAATAACTACATACCTCTAGCTAACTTTAAACTTGTGCCGTTTTGAAGAACATCGTAGTATATCTCTCCATAATTCATCGATGTTCCAATGATGTGTTTCGCTTTGAGAAAATGATTCAGATTACCAATGTGATCAGAGTGTCCGTGCGTTGCAACTGCGTGAGTGATCTGAAACGTTTAACATCTCATTGCCTACTCAAATAGACTCTAAAGATACCGATACATCCGAATAGCGAAGTTGTCTTGTTCAACGATACGTTTACAGTATATATATATATATATATAGCACAATTTTTTATTCTATGATAATTCTCTCAACAAAGTTTTGTTATCGTGAAAATAGAATACAGTCGTCTAGGTTACATTACAAAATCTACTTGATTGTGGTGAAAAACATTCAAGCCAGTGTAATTGTTTTTAAAAAAGCATTATAACAAATATGAGTGATAACTAAATACATTTGTTTTTCTAAAATGTAGTTCCCTTCAAATACCTCGTCTGGCGTGATTCCTCTTTTGGCGAGCGCATTGAGGAGTCGTGGTCCATCCCATGGTGTCATTGTATCTACAATAATTTTTACGTCTTCGCCAATCACTAGGCTACAACTGCAGTTTGCGTACATGACAGACGAGCCTTCGGCTTCCATTCGCGAAAATCCATCGAATAAAACCTCCACTTTGTTGATAAATTCTGAAGACGCCATTGTTCTAACTTTGAAAAATGTTCTTTCTTCAATTTTCGAATGCTGTGTAATAAAAAAACAAAAACAAACAATTACCAAAACATGTCACCAAATGCTAACTAAACGTGAAACTTCGAGTGTTCCTATGCTCGCCGAACAGCAATTAAAACACAATTCTTCTTTTTTTTTTTTAACACGAACTGCAAATCACTTAGGAAAGGAGCACAAACGATGTCATAGTTTTGATTTCCCCCTTTTTTTTTGCAATCCTCTACAGATATAGTTATTGAGACTACTTTCATCAAAAACCAATTCCACCAAAGCTTTTTGAGTGTTACGAAACCTACAAATGTAGTAGAATAGTATTTGTTTATTATGGACACCCCATCTGATAAGTATCGTCTCCCGACTGTCGAGCTTTACTTGGATGCTTATTCGAGTTGCTCATGATCCTCAATACTTATTCATCACACATTTCTACAAATGAAGTTTGAAATGAAGTCGAATAAGGGATACGGCAGAAACACTTTTAAGCATTAGGCCACCTATTCTTGGTCGCTGTAGACCAAAACAAACATAGTCGCGATGCCTTCTGGTTTATAACCAGGCAGCAGCAGCGCACGCAGCATACGCTCTTGTTCCAATTAGGAAAACAGCTGTTACCTCACTCCGAGCCGGTTTCGGTTACAGCTTTCTCGATTGTAAGCGCGCCAAAAAAAGTCGAAATTCTAAATGAATTTAATATTGATTTTAAAAAAAGCGGAGGCCTTTAGAGGTGAGGGCTGAAGCCGATAATTTCCATAGGATCACGATGTAAATTTAGAGATCCATTTATTCATCTGACCCCGGGTACTTCATGCCATTCCAACTTATTTACTTTGTTAGCACTGCAGATAGAATTGTATTTTCCTTTCCAAATTATTATATGCTTGACTCCCAGTGCATGGCAATGACTACAAGGACGCCAAAAGTGACAACTACTTTTGGCATAGTAAAAATACGTAATAAAGATGTACCATGGATAAATATAGAATTATACACTGTGATGTTTGACCATATAATAATCCTAATGTATATGTGTCCGTGTGTTTGTGTATGAAAAGCTGTACTCTACCACATCTGCAAGATAATCCCTTTTAATTAGGGTTCACTAAATTTTTGGGTATGGAGATAAAAAAAACGTATATATATTCCCTTTAGCGCCAGAACTCAAACATACATACATAATAATAATGATCACTTTTAAAACAAGTGTAGCTTATGGGGACAGAATATATGCAACCGTCGTTTAAGAGCGCGTAATCTTAAACCTAACGGCTGGTTTTAGTTTCGCCTTCATCGAACAGATACGAACCCTCTGCTTGTTACTGCTTCACGCAACATGCTCTATCCAGAGGTTTGAATTTACGAGTATGTGCGAGTGTGTCGACAACCTCCAGCTCCCATAACTGCCTCGTACTTAATAGGCCTGTTTTATGGCCAAATGCTAACTAGGTTCCTTGGCGGCTCATTATGCCGGTACAATGTCCGTTCAATAGGTTTCCGACACGAGACAGCTTGCGCGTGTACTTGGATCTAACGTGTAACATGTCCGTGTGAGCTGCTTCGCTAAAGAGTAGAATTCGTCCGCGCTTTAATCCGTCACATTTCTAACTGTTCATACCTAGAAGACAAGATGGATTCGTAACTGATACGATCCTGAATGTGGCAGCCATATATTGTAGCATCGAAAACAAGTGACTTACGGTACGTACAACACCTTTTAATAAATTCAAAAATTGCCTCTCTTATTTCCATGACGATATGTCTATTGTGTCGTCTTGCTTATACTCTATATATATATATATATATATATATATATATATATATATATATATATATAAAAGAAAAGATTTTCACGATAAAACAACATAACCTCAGAGGACCAGTAATGTAGTCTCTTATTTTTTTCGACATATATGTATATATATGTAGTCATCGTATATGTATATATACGATGACTGAACACCAATCGTTTTCCAAGAAATCACAAGCTGTTCGCCCCCTCGCCTCTGTCACGGGGCTATTAAATTTGCAGTCAAAAACCTATAGATATAGTTGAATATGAAAGCTGTATGCTGCTACAAAGAAATATTCTGACTTGGCGTCTAAGTAGAATTATCAAGTTTGATTCAAGTCAACGCTACTTTCTCAACTCAGTTTGCCCGCCAATCCACAGTTGATACTGCTTTCCCTCTCTTTTCGACTGTCTGGTCCTCTTTTCAGATCGAACTTGAACGGCCTTTCTGCTATTGTGATCTGTCGTCTGTTAGTGCCTTTAGCTTCCGAGTGAGACACTAACAGTAGCCCTTTCCCATTCAGCTGATCCGAAGCGATCCGACTGTCCTGAGCAGAACGGTTGTCTTTCAGACTTCTGGGGCCCAACCCATTTCGCGAGTGTTCACCCATCAGCTCACTGTTCGTGTGTTGACTGAAGCTAAAAGTGTACTTTTCTTTAAGTTAAGAAGGGATTTACGACTGTCGTACAAGCGGACAGCCGTTCGATCTCGGTAAACTTTTCGAGAAATCAAACATCAGCTGAATTTGACTCGACCGGAATCCCTCAGGACGTATTAGTTGCCTTCGTTCGTATTCGTCGCGAACTTCTTTCAATCTCGCGTGACAGCTTACGCTGACCAGCGGCCGATAACCACTTGTGACTTGTAAAGCCGTACGAAAAAGTGAAAGAAATCAGAGTGCAGCATACAATATTATACTACGAGAGCTTCACTGTGGTTGGTAACTGCACGGTCGACAAAAGAAAAGTGAATTCGTACGCAGTGACAAACCTTAACTTCAAAGTTCGTAGCTGGCTTAAGACTTGTTTGTATTGGTGCGCTTGCAATACAGAAGAGTTTATTAAAAAATTGTCAAAATGTCACGGGAAAACGTAGCCGACTACACGCAAATTCCGACGTTTGAGACATCCGACCAAAATGGAAAGGATGCGAACGCGGATGATTCAGCGACGCAAGGGGCAGGCAACACCTGCCGGCGATATCAAAAGTAAGTCATAGCTTTATTTACGTGGTGATTTTTATTCTTGGGAAAATCAAGGAAAACTTACCGGAAAGGTTACAGCAGAGAATAGCTAAAAGCGATTGATTTTGTCGAATCGTTTTCGAAGTCACGCACAGCTAATAGCAGATCAAGTGTGGCTATGAACGGACACGAAGCATCTGTAACGAAGACTTTCGACAGAGGCAGCAGCATTAGTGTACTAGCTTTATCCGAGGAAGCTCTTAGAGAGACAAGGTCTTTGCCGTGGCGGGCCAGTGAGGGGCACAGCTTCATTTCTATAAGTTCAAATAATAACGCATCAAGTAGACAGGTTTTTATTATTACCGTAGATTCTGTGCAAACCCGCTATTGGCATTGGATTACTTTATCTTGGCACAAGTGCGCTACTGCCCGCCTATTTCTGACCTACCACAGTAGTAGCAAAAATAGGACAAATTAGGTCGGGCAAAAAAGCAACAGCTCAAGATTTTTACACAGCCATTTGTGGTTACTCGGCGTCGAAATGTCGCTCGCCTTTCCAAAGACGCCTGTTATGTCTGTCCCAATGGGCATTACTGGAACAACAATCAACTTTATCAGTAAATTTAGTAGAGGAAAGATTCGTTGAAATCAATACTGGGAGATGTTTTAGTTGGCTTAGCTTTTGCATCAGCAACACCGGCTATACGCCACGATGTGTTGCGGGCATGGCCTCTAATCGTATACTACGTACTGTTCGAAATTTCCCTCTCTCTAAGGTACTTTAAACGTAAAAATCTTCATCGCTGTGTAGGCCAGTAAACAGTAGTTATTTTCACTAATTGTAGAGGAACTAGATAGGACTAGATAGTGTTTTTCTACAGTATGTTTACTAATAGCTGGCCATGACAACGAACCTCCATCCTGCAACGCTGAGCGATTAGCACGCAGAAACCACATTTCGAATATGTGTCGTTGTCGTCATCATCAAAAACTCTTAATAGTTTCTAGTAGTGCTATATAGCCATACGAAACTTGATATAAATTTCACATCAGAATTGCTAAAATGTGCCGTAATATGTTATTGGTGGTGGCATCAGCTCACGTCATCGTCTCGCGTTATGCGCCAGTGAGTCCGCTTCGTTCACGGGTTCAGCGGTTACAATGAAAACTCCTGCACCGCGACCAACCAAGATTCAAACAACAGCAACTACATAAAATAGGATGCTATTTTTGTGGTGGTTGAGTAAGCATGGCGCTTATTTAGCCAGACGCGACGGACTGTGTGCACGACTTCGCAGAGTTCCGAAATAAGCGTATTACTCGGGATGCATGGCAGGACCAACGCCACGATATTACTATAGCGCGTCTATTTAGTTGCTTTAACTCATCTCCGCGTTCCCTTTTCAATCATCGCATCAAGCAATCGGGCTTTGTAATTTGCGTAATATTTTTCCTCATAACCAGTCAGTGTTGGGTTGCCCCGTTGTTATTTGTTAAGGCAGAACAGAGCTCATGCTTGAGTGCGTTTTCCGTTGCAGGCGCTAATTGGAAATTCGAATAGTATTATCTGTATCGAACCTTCTTTCGAAAAGATGCTGGCTACTGTTGGGTTGCGTAAAGGGTTATTGACAAATCAAAATTGGATAAACTCAGTGATTGTGCATTGGTAACATGTTTGCCTAGAAAACTAAGACGCACGTAAGGAGGTGTAAATTTCGCTTTGTGTTCGGAGATGTCGCCAGAGGTTTGAAGCAGTATGAACTACTAACGTATAGCTCAAAGCATCTTGAATTCGACGCAGTGGACAATGATGGTGTATATTCAGCCTGCTCGTAAGGCTGCTGTGGATTTTTAAGGAATAACTGTGTATGTTGTTTTCCTTTCATCGTATGTATCATCGCAAGCGTTTCACGTGGCCGGCCCATTCGTTCATTTGTATTGCATACTAATTATTTCATAAACAAAATGGCTCTAAATTTCTCGTGTAAAGATCTCGGTTACAGGGTGGACGTACGTCCGCGTTCCCTATTAAAATGAAACTGGACGTTACCAAACGATCTAGCCATTTTCGATATAGATTTTGCTGCATTGTATTGCAATTTATTGTTGTCACAAGGGGGAACAGTGAAACCCATAGCGATGTTCAATACATGGTGTGTGATTTTGCTTGTATTATACACTGGTTTCTGAAATCTAGATTACCTTACTGGCAGAGGGTTACAAGCTATTCCTCCAGTTACAAAATGATGCGTATAATAGTGCTATCCGCATAGTATTGAACCATTTGGCTAATTGGTTTCCTGTAATCTATATATAGTGCATGGCTCGGCTAGTGCTGTTTTTATTATATATTATTTCTAAAGACCAGCGTCGCAAGGCTGTGCACCTGTACCGTCATCAACTAAAGTAACTAAATTGATTTAGGCCTTAAAAAATATTGAACTTCATAGACTTCACAGAAGATTCGTGCGACTCACGAAACGCGAGGACGAAAGTATATTCAATTTTACTGCATGGTTGTCTGTTCCCTGGGTCCATTTATGATGCTGGTACCCAATTTTTAATCATCGTCTACCAGTGACAATCTTTAAAATACTAACGATAACTATATTATTATAGAATGATGTTTTGACACTGATAATTGTGCCGGAAAGCCACGACCCACATTTCTGACCAGACCGGTATTACTCTCTGCCCAACAATGCACGCATCGGCACCGACGAAAGACACTCTGTATCAGATCCACATTCATGTTATGCTAAAATCTCCAAACAGGCTTCGGCATAGTGGTGACACACGTATTGAGAATGGCTATAGATGACTTCGACAGGTCTGATATGATGCTGCGATGGGTACACAAAAGCACAGCCAACGTTTGCGTACGGACAGCTGTATCGTGGGCGACCGCGAGTAGTGCCCGATTCGAATCGGATAAGGTTAATAGTCATGGCGTACATGTGAGTACTTGCGCAGTGGACGTACTTAATTTTACGAAATTAAACGAACACTTCGTCCAGTCGAACACAGAAGATGATAACAACAACAGCAGCAGCAGCAGCAGGAGTAACGCCAACACGTCTAAAAATATTGCCGCGTCATGCTGACGCCAAATGAACTACTGTTAGCAGAATTAGGGCCAACGCTAAGTTCGAAAAATGGGGTAACATCTGGAGGAAGACTGCCGTCACATACGTCGTCTGTCTATGGCCGAAGTAGCCTCTAAAATTGATATGGTGCCGGAAAAAGTATACATTCGCTATTTTTTTTTTATTCGAAACGCGTATCTGAGTACATGTGAGGTGATGGATGCGGATTTACTTATCTGACTACCTAGGCGTGTTGGTTCTATTCAGTACAGATAGATAGGTAGAAACGTTTAGCATTAGAAAATGACAATATCAACCGAGTTTTTTGATTCAAGTTAAAAAAAAAACAATAAGGAATTGGAACTTTTAATAAGTTGTTCTCATCATCAAACTGAACAGAGTCATTCGAGTGTTCACAGTCTTCGTTATATACACTACTACTACTTTTACATACTATTAGAATCTTGAGAGTGCAGTCTATCCATTGCTTTGCTAAAAATGACGAGTCATCTGTGTAGCGGTCTGCTCTTATTTATTTCAGACGCACGGCGTCATTTCTGCGCTGATCTTATCCGCAAACAAAACTCATACTTGTCGAATGCCAGTAAGCCTTTTTTTTCCATCACTCGTTGATAGATATGTATTAACAGGGGGGCTGCTGCTGCTGCTGGCCATGACAACGTTGTTGGCGATATTCGTAATGCTGAAGGGAAGCCATACATTATAGTTGCAGATCGACGACTTACAACTGCTGTAGGCGTCCGTTTAAACCATTAATACAGCGGATTATGATTGGATACAGACGTTTAGTTATGCACACTATTGACGAAACACTAAATATTATAGCAATACTTGTTTACTACTAATGGTGGTGGTGGGGGGGAAGAATGATAAACACATGGGTTTAATCTACTATATGTAATTAACGCTATTTGTATTTGAAATAAAGTAATGAGTATGCGTGAGGCAATGACATGAGTTTCAAAAGTAGATATTCATTCACACGTGCATGTAAGGGACGTGCACGCATTATGGTGTGGGTTATGCAAGATAAGACAAATAAAATAGATGCCTCGGTGCAATTTGGTGTCGTTTTTTCCCACTATATGGTGCATTGTTATATTGTGTTACGCCTGTATGCAGCTATGCTTCATGGCTTTTGTGTTTTTCTCAGCGAAAGGGACAAAAAGGACGCAAAGGACCCGCGCGAAGCCACTCCTTTATCCGACGTTCTGGCCCTATGCTAGTACGAGCCGTGATGGATCTGTCTTGCCGATTTCGGCCTTGCAGATTTCGAGATTTTTTTTTTCTATTTTTACCGTGTTGCACTGCGACAGAGAATTTCCTTTGATATTTGGCGAAATACTGTTACAACGATTCGTATTTTGAATAAGCAAAAAGCGTAGGTTATCGTGACAGCTGCCCTCTACGTTCAACATATTTTTAAGCTTATGTACAATTTTAGTCGGGCAACTTTCATTCCGAGCCCTGCGGCAGATAAACTATGATTCAGTTTTGTCTTCTCATTGATTCAACAGTATTGCCTAGCTTATTTGGTCTTCATAGGGCTACGAAGTATCGGTACGCAATGAAATGTTGCTTGCAGGCATGTGAGAGCGCTACTTATGCAGACACCCACAAACCCAAGCACACACACAAACACACCTCCACAGACACCCACACAATCACAGAGACGAAAACAGTTCGATTTTTGCGCGCGTGTACACTATTGTTGTTACAGCACAGCAGCAGCAGCGGCAGCTTGGAAGTGTACTCCGTGCCCCTCTGTATTTAGATACACACGTGTGCAAGGATTGTAGAATCATAATGTTATCGAAGTAACGTTTCGGTTCAATTGAATCTGCTTTTTTCTGTCTTCTAGCGGTAAAACAAGAATGTTAAACTCCCCCGTTTAACAGTTGCAACTATGTTTAGCAA